TATATATATATATATAGCATCGACTACACCCGAAAACTTCTTGCCTGCATGCAGGGGCACTCCATCACTGCGTCGGAGTGCAAGTTGCACATCACGTTGAGCAGTCCTGCGATGCGTGCCCTGCCGCCCTTGGGTGAAAGCCCACTGTACACCTTGGATATGAGGACAGTATATCAGCAACAAAGTTATACACAGCACATAATATGCATCGATCTGCGACCGCTTCCTATATGACACACCCAACAACTTGTTCATGTCGTCAAGCAGCTCTCGGTCACCATCTGTGAAACGTTCGAAGAACCAGTGGCAGCCTGCGTCTCTTCAATGCATGCCTGGGCAACTTCCTGAAAAAGCGAAGCTGGGTCGCCCTTGCCAACCTTCGTTGCTGCCCATCTCATCAATGGGCTCGCCTTCAGGTCCAACCTGTTTTTTGGTCGTGGGGCCTGGGCTCCGGCATCATCCCCTGCAGCAGCTTTACGTTTTTTGTTTTGCAATAAAGCTCGCTTCAGCATGCCAAACCAGGCTCCATGATGCAGCAGTCAGCCGGCAGTGCGTTGCACGACTTGTCCAATTCAAGAAAACATCTGCAGCTCACATAAGCAGCAATCCATCGTCCGTGCTGAACACTGCACACACACACACACACGACCATGGCATTTCAGTTCAAACCATGCATGGGTCGCGGGTCCTAAAACAGAAGTTTTGACCGGTTCTGGAGTTCAAGCCTGAAGTGTTAGGGCAGGTGGGGTCTACATAAAGGGCTCATCGGGTTTTAGGGCAGTTTATATAAAGGGTTCAGGACTTAGGAATCCCAAAGGTACTTGTTCCAAATACTTCGAAGGATTCTGAAGTTACAGGGCATATAAGGGAGATATGTATATAAATATATATATATATATATAATATATATATATATATATATATACATATACATGGGTTTCAGCGGTTTCAGGGCTTAGGGTCTAGGCTTAATTTTCGAGCAAACCCATGTCTATTCAGGATCGAACTTTATCGCATGGTCCCTGTTTCTTCTTGATTGT